ACATAGATGAACGTCGTAGAGGCAGATCAGTATTCAGACTGGAATGGTCCTTCTACTGTGTAGAAACCGCCGCCCTAAAGAAACATTTTTGAGATCTTCAGAATGCAGCGGACATGCAAAACGGAGAGGTTTTTTGCTTTTGCTAACGGCTACGACGATGATTACACTAAATAGCAACAACACAGCACAAACATTGAACATGATGAGTGAATGATAAACGCGTAACTCTGCTTAAACCGGATTTCACGGTTATTGACCATTCATTTCTCTTAGCTGTACAGAAGCATGGCAGGGATGCGACACTATTAAATCCGGTTTCTGATACATCTTAAGAAAACATATTTTTGTATTGCATATTAGATCCCCAAAGGTACATCCATTCGCCGCCCGTGCAGGAGCATGACATTGACTGCATTTATCATATTTGATATGATGGTCGAGTAAGCTTGGTTAAGTGATGTACTCGGCAATTACTCAGTAAATCACTGGGGCATTTTTTGCTTCATGTAGTAGTAAAACGCTGTAATGCTGGTTAACTGGAAAATATCGGCATTTTTGTCGCTATCTCCTAATGCATTTGTCCGATCATATGCGACTGATATTCATTCTAACGTATCTTTCATTAAGACGACGAATGAGAATCTATTAAGATGCACATTGTAGACCCCAGAAGGCTGTCCTTTAGCACTGCTTGGACATACTCAATATAATATAGTGTTGTATTGTTTCGTTTTGTTTTTTCTGTCTATGATTCACTCTGTGACAACTTCCGTATTTATACTAATCATGGTATTATCTTATTAGTCATTGTATTGTCTTCTTAATCAACTGTTTTATGCTATTTATTTATTTATTCTGTCTTGACTATGCTGAAAATGGGATTTGTTCTGACCTCTTTCTAGCACTAAAATTTTCAACTTTCACTTGTCACGTTGTCTCCCTGACAATGATCAGATCGGCACCGTCAGGGGAAACATCGGTTGGAAAACGCGTCCAAGAGGGATTAATGATATAGTCCTGCGACGTTAACTGCCCTGAAAAGTTTGAACTATATGCAAGTAACGAAGATGAGTTTTATTCAGCTATTAGACCGCAATATGTATGGAGAATTTGCCTTATTTCTCACAACGTTTCAAATGCAGACAACTACAACAACAACCGAATACCTACCGCCATTTGCTGACGAATGTTTATGAGATACCTGCCGTGTAGCTTACTGACGGTCGCTCAGTGAATTGCAGTGTTCCTTGTGTATAGTGCTACAGTTTTTGCGCATGCAGTAAAGGTTGCATCAATAATACGTCATGGCGCATCCGCTGTCATCAACGGTTAGAAATATTTCGTTTTCCTATTCCTATTAGCTTGCGGGGTTTTCTTTTCACAGTCATTCCGTATCATCTGTATGTTCCAAACCTGACATGTGCTATTCAGACAACGTCGAATTGTAAATTTCACTGAAGATTTTGCTTAATCGTTATTTTGGTAGACTCCGTTTCGTAATATGTGGTTAGTTACAGGGCTGCGCGACTTACTTTGCCATGTATAATCTCCAAGTCTGATTTCGTCACGTGTTTTAAGGTAGCTCAGTTGGTTGAGACATTAAGTCGACGAATATATCTGAAGGATATAGATTATCCGCTATTAATGATACTCTTCAATTACCTGCAAAAAAGAACAAATGCCTGGCCGATAGCGTTCAAACGGCGATCAGCGTCATAATTTAGGCTCCGTAGTAGGTTGTCACAAATATCGCTCATGTTGGAATTATCAGGGAGACGACTGAGATCTTCCAGCAGATGCAAACCGTTTTCGCTTTCCTTTCTTTGGCAGTTGCAGATGATGTTCCTCATTGAAATAGTAAATCTTTACAACTCTCTTTATTGATTAGAATCGGCATTAAAACCGTGAATAAGTAGTTTGCATTTCATTTTAACGGTTTGAATCCCAGTTCGGCATAAAATTTTTCGTAGTAACCGTCAATTCCATTGAACGAAGAATCTGACACACTATGCTTAAGTGTAAGCAGCAGAAAAGCGGGTTGCAAGTTGTCGACCTGTGAACAATATGGACATCTCAATGCTTCGGTGTAGTTACGCAAGAGCTTGTTGCAATGATGTCTGGCGCGTACGCTTTACGGCTTAGCTTTGACTCACCACATAGCTAACAAAATCTGCACAAAGTAAACCACAAATTTAAAATTTGAATTTAAATGTTTACAATTGCTATATGTCTCTGCTTAGTATGGATTGTATATCATTTAATCTGTTCACCTTGGTGTAGTTTTGAACTCTTGTGCTTTTATTTTTCGTATATTTGATTAAATCTTTTTGTTATCGTAATTGGAAGGTAAGAAAGTTTGAACAGAAAAATAAACCGTTCGTGATCTACCCGTTTTGAAACTAGATTTATGATACTAGATTTATGCTCGACAAAATTCACTGTTCTGACAGAGGTCATATTCAGTTCCTCTGCCTCCAAACTGTATTTTCAGATGTCATTCTCTCATATACTGCATCTATAGCCGGTGAATGTCCACCATGAAAGGAAAGTTTAGAATCTGAATGTTTCTTCATCGCTCGATTTGAATTATGAAACGTTGATTACACTAAACCGCATCGTTTTACGTTTGACGTAATTGCTCTGCTTTGAGTTCTCTCAGTATTAACCTTGACGATGGCCAATATTCTGTTGTCATAAACGTTTGCACCATTAAGGTTCCTCGATAACATTTCGCCTACAACAAGTGAATTCACTGATTCCTTTTCGTTTTCGATGACTGGGAATCAGATAAACTTTCTGAGGTTTTGATAGGGTTTAATTTACTTTTTTGCATTCCCGTTACAGCCATTTTAAATACGAAGATAGATCATTATTTACTTTAGGGATGTATTTTTTATAGTGTTGAGAACCATATTATTTAAATCTTTCCTCATTAATTCAGATTCTTTATTTTAGTGTTAATGCTAAATTTATTTAAACGTATATTAGACTGATTCACTGACTCACTACTCAGCCTGAAGTGTGCCTCTGTCATTACCACTCGTGTTTAGCACAGTTGCACGTATTCTTTCATAAAATTACTGTCTTTATTGAAAATTTCAAGTCCGTCCGTCGTAAGGTAATATCTCTATTTAAATTACGCTATTCCTGTGACATGAATACAAATTAGCCTAACGCGAGAGTAACTCAAATATGATACAATCAGCAGAAAGTTAAATTAAATTGGTTTGTTTAAAAACGACTGGCTTGTAGTTTCAAAGCAGAAGACATTGCAGTGCGAGTTGGTCAGTCAAGAAACACGTCTCTGGGGCCCTATGACCAGTTTCGATTCGTCAGTCATATACTGATCCATCCCCTCTTCCGGCCTACCGAGAAAGCACGTAGCCACAACATCGCCCTTCTACGATTGCAAAAGAAAGTAACGTATTCACGTTACGTCATGCCAGCTGTCCTGCCGAACAAAACTACTCGCTCATACGGTCAGATGAATGTCATAGCGTTCGGAGTTTTGAAGACCAAGAGATTCCACAACGATTACGTCGACCAGATGGACGTAATGACTTTGAGCGCAGAGAAGTGTGCCCATACGCCGATCGTCATGGAGGAAATGAGCATCCAGGACGATGAGATATGCGTCATTGCGTCTTCGTCGAATCCAAATTATCATCTTTGCGAGGTATGGTCTTCCGAATGTTAACCATTGCGAAGGTATTGTGAATTCAGATCGAACAAGGAGCCGCGCTTGTTACCTACAGAGATTACCACTGGATCGTGCGCGGTGTTGCAAGTTATCCTAATCGATGTCGTAACCCCACCAGACCCGGCGTGTACACATCAACTGCCAATCATATCGACTGGATTCAGTATATTTCAAGTATGCGTCCTTACCTAGAATTGTGTCTAACCAGTGACGGTGTTACGGAATGAAAATGAATGGAATGGTTTTTGCGGGAACTTAGCTGTGACAGTTAGTTAAAAGGAGGCCTTTTAGAAACCGGTTCAGATGTCACTAATGCTGAGCCTGCTTTGTGCTTTTCATAATTTTCCTCCTCTTGGTAACGTCCGTTTTTCAGAA